CTGTAAAAAACACAGAAGGATCGAAAAGATGCTGAGAGATCGTGGGGACTCTCTAGGGTTTTAGAGAGTTCTCTTGGTTCTTAGGGTTTCGGTAATGATGGACTTTCAGTCTGAGCTTCGTCCGTTGAGGAACAAAACCTCTTTCACATGTGTAGTCACCAGATGCTTCGTCCACTTTGGAAGTATGGCGCGTGCACTGGGGCTCGAAAGCTTGGACCGTATTGAAGCTAATGCTTGGTAGCCCCTCGGCCGACTCACATGTCAATGCGCGCACTAACAAGTAGTTCATGATGTGGTCGTCGCAATTCCATAATTATTTGCTCGAGCTTACGTTAGGGATGTCTAGTCCCAAGTGCTATACGCATCATGATCTACAGTGCCGGATGCTTGCCCTTCACCGTGAAGAACAATCAGATATACTTCCTCCTGGGTAAGGACAGGACGGATGGTCGCGAAAGCGATTTCGGCGGGAGGTCGGAAGATGTGGATAAGGGGGATCCGAAGAGGACTGCGATCAGAGAATTCTACGAAGAGACCATTGGCATGATATTAGACATGGAAGAAGTGGAGGCTCGCTTGAAGGATCCAGGTTGCCACGTCGAGATCAAGTCGAGGACCATGGGCGGCGGTACATATACCATGTTCTGCATATACATCCCATACATGAGCTTGTATATCCCGGCTTTCCAGAGAGCGATGAAGTTCCTCAGGAACACAAAGGCACACCGCAAGTTTATAGAAAAATCGACCATCGGTTGGTACTCCTTGCCGGCCGTCTTGGCTGCGGCCGAGGGGAAACAACCTCCACCAGAGTGCAGTAACGATCCGCCTCTGATGCTCAGGGACGTGTTCGCAGCCACGGTATGACTAGGAGCTGATACTCTGAAGAAACTTCCCGAACTGGTTTCGAATCACCCGCCGTACCTACACTTGCACCCGCAGTGAGCACTTTTTCTCTGCGCCAACAGGTAAGATGGAGCTCCTGGACCCGGTCACGCTCTTTGCGATGGCGTGCTTGATCTTCATAGCGTGGATGAAGTATAAGGACCGACTCTTCAGAGCAGAGCATGATCTGTACGACACGGACGACGAAGCAGACACGTACAGCGAAGCGGCCAAGGACGACGATGGCGACGAGGATAAGATCTCCGAGCTAGAACGGGTACTTCGACGCATGACTCGCTGATGTGCGTCGGTTTAGGGCGTGAAACTCTTTTCGCAGACACGTCTTAAGACATGGATTCCACCTCCTCCCCAGAGAGGCCTCTCGGCCCAAAGGAGCCGATCAAGGTGCTCTGCGAGAAGCGAGGCCTCAACAGGGAAACCGTAGAAGAGTGTTTGAACAAGTTCCTGGCTCCGGATACGGAAGGGATCCGAATCCGCAATCTGGACCTCTACGTACAGGCATTCTGTCATAAGTCGGCTCTGCGCGAGTACGATTGTCCTTTCGGTGACAACGAGCGCTTGGAGTTCTTGGGGGACTCCGTGCTCAATCTGGTGGTGACGAAGTACTTATTCGACCGTTATCCGGATCGCGCCGAAGGTTTCTTGACGAGGTTGCGGACCAAACTCGTCCGTAGTTCGAGCTTGTCGGCATGGGCTCGCGACATGGGCCTCCAAGACCTCATCTTGATGAGTTCCAAGGCTTTGGAACAGGGCTGGCACAACAACACCCGAAAACTAGAAGACGTATTCGAAGCCCTGATCGGCAGTCTCTTTCTGGACACTGGGATAGCCTCCTGCAAGAGGTTACTGTATCCGATCCTGGACAGCTGCGACTTCGCCTGCGTAGAAGAGGACACTAACTTCAAAGACATCCTCCTGAGGAGGATGCAAGCCGTGCACTCTTGGCTGGTCGCTCAACAGCTGAACGTCACTCAGTACGGAGCAGAGAGCCTCCCGGAGTATCACCTGATGGAAACGTTAGGGCCAGAGCATAGACGGGTATTCAAGGTCGCCACCTGCGTGGCAGGGGTGCACCTAGGGATTGGCGAACATCCGAAGAAGAGAGAGGCGGAGCAATGTGCTGCTAAGATGGCATTAGAGCACCTATCGAGATACGGCCTCCCTACCTTCCCGACCAGGATGGGCTACAGGGTCCCCGTCCCGCCTTCGGTCGCGGAGACGTGCATCAAGTCACCCTCTGCGTGATGATCTGAAAGCTCGGGTTGACGGGCCTAGAGGCACCAGACGGTTGGAAGCTGGGCCGCTTGGCGTACCTCTTAACTAGAGCGTCGTACGTGACCTCGATATGACCCTTTGAGACCCTGTTCTCGGACAGCGTGATCCGTGCGGACAGAGCCTTCTTCTCGCTGTCTCGAAAGATCTTGGTCATCACCTTCTTCACGGCCGTGCTGGGTTGGTCCCCCTTCACCACGCTTCCCTTTTTCACATACTGCATGAGGTCGCTGCCGTCCGTGGACACGATTTCGGACACTTCGTACGTCCGAGACCTCTCTACCTTTGGGGGCGTCTTCGGGGGGCTCGGCGAACCTGCTGACTCGGTAGGTGCGTCTGCCTCTACCTTGCGTCTCGACCTAGACATCGACTTCTCCGCGGGCGGCGGGGGGTCCATCTTTTCTGTGTCCTAGGGAAGAAAAAGGGGAGGCGGTAGGAAACGCGATGAAGAGGCTATACACGACGATCAGCAGTAATAAGAAGAAAGGAAAATTGGCGTCCGAAAGGCACCGTTCTGTGTCTCTCCCGTCCGAAACGGCACGTCCGAAACACCTGTCAGGGTCCATGACGGCGTCCGAATTCGAGCAGCTGCTTCGTCCATTTAAAGCCTCCCCCACGTCTGAATCTCTCATAAATTTTAGCAACTCAAACGAGCATACCACTTGCGAAGCACACTCAGACAAGATGTACGTCGTGAAGCGCAACGGTTCCAGGGAGCCGGTTACCATTGACAAGATCTCAAAGAGGCTGGACATCCTGGCAAAGACTCCCTTTGCTTTCTATGACACTGCTTCGCGCAACGAGCCCGGGAAGTACGTCGTGGACGATGACCTGCTCGCCACCGGGCGCGAACTGAAGCACGCTCAGCCGATCAGGGTGGCGCAGAAGGTGTGCGCAGCCCTCGTGGACGGCATCACCACGGAAGAGCTGGACAACGAGGCTGCCAAGCAGGCCGCTCACATGCAGACGACCCATCCGGAGTACGGTGTGCTCGCTTCCAGAATCGAGGTGTCGAACATCCACAAGATCACGCCAGCCACTTTCGCAGGAGCGGTGCGCCGCCTCCAGGACAGGCTGGATCCTCTGCTGTTCGAGCTCGTCACCACCACTGACCTGGGAGACAGGCTGGAGGAGGCCATCGATTACAAGAGGGACTACTGCTACGACTACTTTGGACTCTGCACCCTGCAGAAGATGTACCTATTGAAGAGCAAGGATGGAAAGATCGTGGAACGTCCTCAGCATATGCTCATGAGGATAGCACTCTGGATGCACATGAGCCCCGACGGTGCGGTGGATGTTCCTGCCGTACTGGAGACGTATAGGCTGCTGTCTGGTCGCTTCTACACGCACGCCACTCCCACGATCTTCAACGCAGGGACGAAGATGCCGCAGCTGGCCTCCTGCTTCGTCAAAGGCACCAAGGTCTTCACGTTGGAGGGCCCCAAGCCCATCGAGACGGTCCGGATAGGCGACATGGTCATCACTCACGAGGGCAGGGCGCGCGAGGTCTCTCAGCTGCACAAGAACCACAGGGGCGACAGGAAGATCCTCGCTCTCAAGATATCCGGGAGCCCGCTTCTGCACGTCACCGAGAATCACAAGTTCCTGACCCTACGCGACGGACTAGGCGAGCCCGCGTGGAGTGCTGCGGACGAACTCAAGATCGGCGACTACATCCAGCTGCCAAATTACGTTGGAGAGAAGGAGCTCCCTGAGCCCATCGACGTCTGGGCGATCCTGCGAGAGGCAGAGCCTAGACTCAGGTATGGAACCGAGGAGCACGTGCAGGATGCGAACTCACAGATCGATGAGTACGTCGCAACTGCTGATCTCAGGTACTGTCCTCCCCGAAACTCAGCAACTTTCGCCATCCGTCCCAGGTCCATCGAGGTGACGGAGATGTTCTGCAAGCTCCTTGGCATGTGGCTGGGAGACGGTCACGTGCTCAGGGGGAAGGTGAAGGGAGATGACAGGACGTGTTACGCGGGAATCGGCTTCAATAGGAGCGAGGACGAGCGAGTCGCTCAGTACGTCCGCCAAGCTGGCGCCAAGACGTTCGGAGTCCTTGCGAAACCACACGGCACCTGTGTAGAGTTCTATTCCGGGTCGCTGGCACTCGTGTTCGAGTATCTCTTCGGTGGCGTTTCAGCAGCCAAGAAACTGCCTCCCGGCGTCTTCACGTGGCCGAACGACCACATCAGGGCTCTGATGGAGGGCCTCGTGATCTCCTCCGGGCGGGTCAAGGGGATCGAGGGAGTCGCGATTCGGACGCCGAACGGCACCCTGATGGACCAGCTGTTCCACCTCCTCCGGTCTCGAGGGGTGGAGGTCTTCCTGTCCACCAGCAAGGCACACTCTTACGTCACGCGGCGTGGAGACGAGATCATCGTCCCTACTTACGACCTGAGGCTCCCACCAGACTTCCTCGATCTGGCGACGATCGCCGTCCTGCGGCCAGACGTCGAGACCAGTGCAGCCCGCCCAATCACCGGACACTCCGTACGCAGGCAGGGATCCACCTTCCTCAGGGTCGTCTTCGTGGAGGTGACCGACCGCGATGATCCCATCGTGTACAACCTGGGGGTGGATGAGGACCACTCGTACATGGTGGAAGGGGTGGTCGCGTCCAACTGCTTCCTGCTGGGCAAGCTGGGGAACAGGGCGCAGGATTCCGTGGCGGGCATGTACGAGACGCTCGGGCACATGGCTTCCATCAGCAAGCTAGCCGGGGGCATAGGCGTGCACATGCACGAGATCCGAGCGACTGGGGCCTACATCAACGGCACGGGAGGCACGTCTTCGGGCCTGATCCCCTACCTGCGCGTGGTGAACATGACCGCCCGGCACATCGACCAAGCCGGGATGCGGCCCGGGGCCTTTGCGGTCTTCCTGGAACCTTAGCACGCCGACGTCGAGGACTTCCTCGAGATCCGACTGAACGTGGGTGCAGAGGACAGGAGGGCTCGCGACCTCTTCTCGGCCCTCTGGGTGCCGGACCTCTTCTTCAAGCGGGTCCTAGAAGACGGGAAGTGGAGCCTGTTCTGTCCCAGCGAGGCTCCGGGGCTCAGCGACGTCTACGGGGAGGAGTTTGAGGCGCTATACGCTTCTTACGAGGCGCAGGGGCGAGCCAGGAAGGTCATCTCCGCCAGGGACCTCTGGGAGAAGGTCCTCGTCTCCATCATCGAGACGGGAACGCCCTACATATCCGCCAAGGACGCCGTCAACCGCAAGTCCAACCAGAAGAACCTGGGCACCATCAAGAGCTCCAACCTGTGCAACGAAGTGACCCTCTTCAGCAACCCCGCCGAGACGGCCGTCTGCACCCTGGCCAGCATTGCCCTGTCCAAATTCGTAAAGTACGGAGAGGAGGGCCGCTACTTCGACTTTGAGGAGCTGCACAGTGTGGTGAAGACGGTGACCAAGGTGCTGGACGGAGTGGTGGACCGGACGCTGTACCCGCAGCCGGAATGCGAGCGCAGTAACAAGCGCCATAGGCCCCTCGGCCTCGGAGTGCAGGGCTTTGCCGACGTCCTGTACGCCCTCCACACCCCATTCGAGTCCAAGAAAGCCGCCGAACTGAACGTCCGTATCTTCGAGACCATGTATCACGCAGCTCTGGAGGCCAGCGTCGAGCTGGCAGACCGCTTCGGGCCCTACGAGAGCTTCCTGGGCAGCCCCGCGAGCGAAGGTCTCCTGCAGTTTGACCTGTGGGGAGTGGATCCAGGCGACGAGTACTACGATTGGGCGGAGCTCAAGGAGAGGATCAAGAGCGTGGGACTGCGCAACTCGACGCTCATCGCCCTCATGCCTACCGCCAGCACCAGCCAGCTCCTGCAGAACACCGAGAGCTTCGAAATCCCCACCTCCATGCTCTACAGCAGGCGCACCAAGGCCGGCCAGCACATCGTGCTCAATCGCTGGCTCGTCAGGGAGCTGCTGGAGCGCGGCTTGTGGTCCGTCGCCCTGAAGGACAAGATCCTGGCCGACGGCGGTTCGGTGCAGAACCTGGACGAGCTGGACGCAGATCTGAAGGAGCTTTTCAAGACCACCTGGGAGGTCAAGATGAAGAGCTACATCGACCTGTCCGCCAACCGTGGACCCTTCGTGTGCCAATCGGCCTCGATGAACCTCTACCAGCAGCAGCCCATCGCGGACAAACTGAACCGCATGCTCATCTACGGGTGGCAGATGGGGCTGAAGACCATCCTTTACTATCTGAGGACCAGATCGGCGAGCGAAGCCACGCAATTCACCGTGGCAGTGGACGGGAAGGCCAAAGCAGAAGAGCCGGTCTTAGCTTGCACTAGGGATAACAAGGATTGCGTAGCTTGTTCGGCGTGATTTTCATAGAACTGGGACCAGGATCGCAACGGACTCGAGACTCTCGTCGGCATTCACACGTTGTATCGCTAATTGGCCACTGTCATCTACCGCGAGCATGTATGCATAGGTCACTGCGTCGATGACTCGGCTGATCATGAGGTTCCCACCGTTCATTTTCCAATATGGATCAGGGATGGATTCAGTTGTGTTTTGCCATGTCACAGAGAGTGCCTGTGGATCGTCTGGATATTCTATTCCTCTCAGGAGCAAGCCCGCGCCGTTGATGTCCACGTTATTCGAGAGTCCTCTCGGATCCGTGATAGGAGCACCGAGGGTGACCGAGCTATTGTCGTTCACAATGAGTTGATTGTTGTAATTTATCGCTGGGTCGACGTAAGTCACCGGACCCGTCACCGTCACGCTTCCGTCCAGCACGATACTACCTGCCGCACCTGGGCGGAGGACGAGGTCCGTCGTCTTGTCGGGCTGGATAAAGGATGCAGCGAGCCAAGTCGATGCCCCATTATGGTCGACCAGGCCGGACATGACCAGATTTCCCACGACATTAAGATCGGACGCGACCACGACTTGCTTGCCCTCGGGGGCATAGAGCGTCAAGTCGGATTCGGATCCGTCGGGCGCTAGGCCGCTCTGCAATCGATTACCTGTGAAAGTCTTTGCTTTCACATTACCGATCACTACGTTGGACATCTGGTATTATATGCAAGCATTTTTTTTCCAGGGTGGTCCTCGAAAGCGTAGTATGATACCATGCATCTAGTGCTGATGGGCATACAGGTATGCAATGTACGTAGCTGAACCCTGCCATTAGGACGTCATGGTGCGTGCATCGGACGGTAAGGGTTCGATTCCGCTATTTGATCGGGGGCAATCCATGCTGCGATGATCTGCGCTTCATATCTTTTGCATACTCAGTCGAAAATGTTTAGGCTTCCGACCCTACGACAGGATCGGAGCGACTGACAACATCTATTCTCAAGACCGGGGAAATACGAAAATCTAAAAGGTTTGAATCTGTCCGACCACGACAATGGGTCACCCCAGACTTTCTCTCCTGCACCGTCTTGCCCCGCAGTGAGATGCTTCAAGCTGGGGAGCGTGCTCAGCACCCCCACCAGAGCCTGCACCCCTGCTACACCGATCGCGTTGTCGAAAACGTCCAGACTCTCCAAGTGCGTCAGCTTGCCCAGAGCCGATGCCAACGCTGATGCGCCTTCCGTCGCGATGTAATTTCCCCTGAGGTTTAGTTCGACCAGCCTCGTGAGTTTCCACAAGTGCGAGGCCAGGGCTTTCGCTCCGATGTCCTCGGCATCGACACGAGCCAGGCTCACCACCTCGAGCATCCTCAGCTCACCCAGAGCGGGCGCCACGATGGCCACGTTAGCGCTACCCATGTGACTCCCGTCCAACTTCAAGGACACGAGACGCCTCAGCTCGCTCATGCCCGGGGCCAAAGCCCGACCCACTTCCCCGGCGAACTCCGTGCAGCAGTACGTGATGGACAAGTCCAGACTCTCCAGCCTCGTAAGGCTGCCCATTACACTCGCCAATCGGTCCGCGTCGAACTCTCTCTTAAAGACATTGTCCCTCAGGTCCAAGCGGACGAGCTGCTTCAGCGACCGTAGTTTCTCAGGCAGGACCGCCATCTCCTCATCGCCTAGGTCCGCATTCCTCAAGAGCAGCACGGTGAGGCCCGTCAGCTCGCTCAGCTTCGTAATCATTTCACACCCGAGATTGGTATCTTCCAAGCGCAATTGCGTCAGACCAGGAAGCTGACAGATCGCTTCAGCTAGCTGTAGTCTCCCTCCCCACACACCACTCATATCCAAAGAGGTCAGGGGACAACGCAGTAGAGCGAGCTTCAGAGAGTGTGCCCCTGCTTCCGTCGCCGCATTGTAACTCAGGTCTACGTCGGTGAGAGCCGTGAGGCAACTCAGAGCTGGCGCCAATATTCCGAGATCCCCTATCTGGTTCTCCCTGAGGCAGAGGCTGGTCAACCCGGTAACGGTTTGGAGGCTCGATGCGAGGACCCCAGCACCAACATTCTCCAGCTCATTGTCTCCTAGGTTCAGGGTCTTGAGCCTCTTGAGGCCCTTCAGCTTCGGCCCCAAGATGCTCACTTCGTCAAGGCACATATAATTTCCAGCGAGATTCAAGTCAGCGAGGTCTACCATCTGCTCGATCTCCACAGCCAGTTGCACCAGCACTTCTTCTCCCATTCCATTATTTGATAGATCCAGGGATACGATGCTCGCTCTTGCAGGGAGCTTGCATATGTACTCTACAAGCTGCCTGCACTGCAAGTCATGGCCTAACATCCTCCACCTACGACCCATCCTCACGCAGTGCGCAAACTTCTTACACACCATTACCACAGGCTCGAGGCCAGCAGGACAACCGGTTTCCCACATGACGTTCTCCAGGATCTTGGTCAAGAGCTCTTCCGGCAGGTCGGTCAGCGCCGCCATTCCGCCTGTTGCTTCTCCATGGAAATGCGTCAATTCCCTACATGTCTGCCCGATCGCCGCGGCACAGTCCGGTAAAACCCTAATATGGCTACAAAACCCTAATTTCGAATACAGAAAAACTTTTCGGAACCATAATCTGCAAGGCGGTAAGCTATTGTAGCAGGTTGTGCCAGAAGGTGAATTGGAAGGAGCATGATTCAAACTGCAATCAAGTTTGGTATGCAGAAAGCAGCTTCATTTGTCAAGCCTCGATCGGAACTACACTGACAGCAGCAAGCCTGTGGTCCATGTTCCTCGCATAGTCTCGGATCATCGTGACACTTCAAGATGGCGTTTGCGATGTCGCTACATGACATTCCATGCGCGAGGGACGAGTGCATATGGAGTGTTTCTTCCAGTCATGTCACTGTTCGCCATTCGCACCGCATCATGTAAGAGCAGAAAGGACCATTGCGTCGACTTAGGAAAGCATATGACTTTCGAGAAAGCCAATACTATCGGCCGTCTGTGCTGATCAGTGCGTCGGCTTAGGAAGGCAATCGAATCCCAGTGTACCAAGAGTCTTTGCCGTCCACGAATTGCTTCATCGGCTTAGGAAAGTGATTGATTTCTGAGTGTACCAGTCGCTTTCGACGACATGGCCCCTCTTCCCCTCCCTCAAAGCGTCCTTGCGAGCCCGATCATGCAGAGAATTGACCTCGAAAACAAGGTCGGGATAGGAGAGGCACTCGTCAAGGCTTGGTCTTCGGAGGAGGGCTTTCCGATACTCATCGATGATGCAGCAGACTTTCTCCAATACGAGACCAGGGTCGGTGCCATTCGCAAGCTGACGGCTCTCGGTCTGGAAGAGGGAAGGGACTACATTCGCCGGTCGGGTCGAAATATGAACGATGCCACAGTCGCAGTCGGCGCAACTTCGAATGACACCCCGCTCGCAAACATTCGGGTCGATAGCAACACCGGGAATGGGAGCGTGATCGACGTCATCATGGCTGTCAGCTCACACGAGTCTCACAATGCATCCCTGACTCTCACGAGGCTGAAAGCCAACTTTCCCGTCACCCTGTAAGAATCTCAATACCTCTCGGGTCAGACCGTTCGACATTACGTCGACTTAGGAACTCCAATGTGCCAGGCAACCAAGATACACCCAACATGGCCACCATCCGAGTAGATCTGCTGTCGTCCAGAGGAAGCGTCCTTGACATTATCCAAGCAGTAACGGACCACGATTCTGGAAACGCCTCGCTCACATTTCAGCGCATGTTGAAAAATCACCCGTCGCTGGCTCAGAAATGGAGTTCGATCAGGATCAACGGGGCTGGGAGACTCACACAAGTTGCCGATATTTCGACCCTGATTGAGGTAGCCATGCTTTGTCCCGGGAAGAAAGCAGAGGCGTTGCGCAAAAGTATGATGGACCTTATCGTCCGTTCGATTCGCGGCGATCCTACCGTTGTTGAGGAGATAGTGGCTCGCTTCGACTGCAAGAGTTATAGCGGTCAGTCGGTCCTATCCGGAGCCCCTCTTACGGAAGCACGCACGGACTTCTCTGACCTGGTGTGGGACAGTGGAGAATTTGCTTCCCTTCTAGGAAGTCTCTCGAAGAATGAAGCGGGCGTCATTTACCTATCAACTGCTCCTAGCCTACCATTCGTAAAGATCGGCTATTGGAAGGGAGAATTATTACCGTTTTCGCCCAAACTGTCGCCCGAACCGGGCGCTAGTCGAGCGAATAAACGATAATAATACCGGATTGGGTCCATACGAGTACGGACTGGTACCGGCTATCCTCGAACCGCCGGGTTATGACGCCCGGTATAATCGAACAATCCTCATATACTAGCCGACCGGCAAAACTCTACCGGCCGGGCTCGGCCTTCCAGCCGCAACCTAAGCAGCCTCAGGATGTTTCGGGCGGCGTTCACGTCGCGGTTCACCGTCATGCCATGACAGCCACTGTTTCTGCAGTGGAGCACACTGTGAACCTTGAACGTCTTGACCGCCCCATCCTTGCACCGCTTCTCCGAGTACTGGTTGTGCAACTGCGTCTTGCAATCGAAGTGTAGCTTGCTCGTCCTGAACTCGTCCATCGAGACCACCCTGCAATGCTTGCGAAGCTCGCGCTCCAGCCGCTTCACGGGCCCGGAAGGAGATCCCTTGATGATGCCTCCGGAGTCCTTGTTGGACCAGTCTCCGAAGCCCACCACCGTCTTGTGACCCACTCGCCTGGTGATAGCCTTGCAGAGCGCATGCAGCTTCTTCTGCGCCGAGATGTACCGCTTGAACTTGAGCCCTCTGAATCCCTGCCTCATGTGGTAGACTAGGAGCATGTCCAACCGGGGCAGCATGAAGTGCACGTAAGCCAGGAACTTGGTGCTCTCCGAGGTCTTCTTGGTGGGCATGTTCCGGATGGCCTCGAGCACCTCCGGGCTCCCGTCATACCACCGCTTGATCTTGGCGTTGCTGTGCTTGTACTTGGCATCGCCGTAGAACTCTCGAGTTGAGCACTTCAGCTTCTCTCCTTCCTCGTTGACCATGACGAAGAGGTCTCGCCTGCCGGGATCCAGGCCCCACAGCTCCTCTTCGCCCGTAAGGCCGGGGAGCGTTGCTTCGCCTGAAGCTTGCTTGGGTTTGGGCTTCCTCAACACGATGCAGACGGCCTTTCCGTCCGTGAGGATCTCGCCTGCAAACTTGCGGTTGCATGTCTCGAACTTGGCAATGTCGAAGAGGTTCCGCCAGTAGTCGTCAGCCACCTTCCTGAACTCTGCTCCGAATGCAGGCAGCTTGACCCCTCCCCTCTTGAGAAGCCCATAGAGTCCGTTGGTGCACATCTTGAGGTGATTGCACTCGAAGCCGCTCTTCGTGGGAAGGAGACTGAAGAGCCTCAGCTGCTTGCCCTTTTTCAGCTCGGCTTCAGACAGAGGATGGTGCGACTCCATGTAGCGCAGGAAGATGTATTGCATCGGCATGAGGATGTGAGGAGTGGAGTCCGCCCTGCCGGTGGTGGCTTTCGGAAGCATGGCTCGGTACCTTAGTACCAGAGGATCGTCGCCTTCGTACTCGTCGGCAAACATGTCTCGCATCTTTGCGTAGCATGAAGGGCCGTCGAGTGAGTACTTGTGCTTCAGGTAGCGCTTGAAGCGCTTATAGAAGTTCGTGGTAATAGAGTTCTTGGTGCACGTGGCCATCTGAAGGCTCGCATTCTGGTACCAGCCGGAGGAGAGGTGCTCGCAGTCTGGAGGCGCATAGTTAGCAGGGCGAGATGCCAGGTAGAGCTCCACGGTTTCGCTGAGGTAGAGGTCTTTGACGGAGCTCTTCTGCCTACCGGCCACGCTGACAGCAGAGAGGCAACTGTAGAAGAAGGGCTGGTCCAGAGGTGGTACTTCTCGACCCAACTCACACAGCCGCAATACATGCAGGTTAGCAAGGACATAGGCCTCACAAATGGCCTTATTCACTTCCTTGAGAACGCTCTCTAGAGGAAGGGCCTCGGCAGCCTCCTTGCAAAAGCTTTTCAGGCTGGTCTTGACCACGGTGCATTCGGTTTCCTTGTTCCTGAGAGCCCGGAGCTTGACGTCCTCACGGGTCCTAGGCTCTTTGAAGAGCTTGCTCACGTAGGCCAGGCATTTGTGGTGGAGAGCGACGTCGGGGGGTTTCTTGGGTGGCATTAGACCACCCCTATGAGTCTCCTTAGGAATTTAGTTCTCGGGAATTTTACGCACGGCCCCAGGTTATGGTATACGAGCCGAGGGCTTATAATACCGGATTGTCGTATATAGTACTCGGGCGGGTATATATATACGACAATCGTATGGAATTGGGTCCAACCGGGCGGTTTCGCGCGACACTTTCGACGAAAACGGTAATAAGGGCCTTGAAGTCCAGATACATGACAGTGTATGGGGCGTACACAATCATCTGGGCCTTCGAAACAGACCAGTGTGTGAGAGACGAGAGGGAATGTCATCGAAGACTTGCGCAATATCGTCTATACAACGAACTTTTCAAGGCGGAACACATCGAGGAATACTTGAAGGTAGTGAGCTCGGTATGCAAGCAGCAGATTATCGTCTGAGAACTGTCAAGAACGCATGTTAAATTCAGTTTCCTATCACTGTTGAAAGTCACCAGTCTGAAGGTATTCAGTTGGCTACCCCGGTGTTGCCAACTTTGGATCGAAAACTACTCCCTTGAAGGTATTCAGTTGGCTACCCCGGTGTAGCCAACCTTCGATCGAAAACTACCCCCTTGTAGTCAATCTTGGAGTACAAGACAATCACAACGACAACAGCAAGTCATAGAGTTCGGACGCCACGTCCGCCCACTTCAGGTTGAGCATGTCCTTGCGAGCTTGTGCTCCATGTTTCTCGCGTAACTTCGGATCATCGTGATACTTTAATATGGCGTCAGAGACGTCGCTGGGGTCCACCAATCTCTGTTCCCCGCCCATGACCTCCACCGCATTCACCGCCCACAATCTATACTTTGGCTCTATCAGTATAGAATTCTTCGCATTCAGAAAGTCCGTCAGGCCCCCGAGCGCAGGGGCTATCTGAGGCTTCCCAACTCCGGCATGCTCGAGTTGGTTGAGGCCCACGCCTTCTCCGCAACACGTGTTGATCCCGACGTCCGTCTGATTGTACAGCTCGTTCACCTCGCTATCCGTCATCTTCCCACCGTTGTTGGGCGTCAACACCTTGTTCATGTAATACTGCACTTGATCCTGTGGGAAAACCCGAGACAACTCTACCTGGAAAATGAATGGGACGTCCCAAGCGCCGGTCCTGGCGTCCGAGCCTATCACGAAGGTGACGTTGGCATCCGGTCGCTTTATGAATACCTGCGCCATCGCCATGGCCATGATGTCCAACCGCTTTCGCGGCTGATTCCTGTTGAGATTGAGCACCAGCATAGTCGACTCGCGGGGCTTGGGCAGATCGAGGGGCTTGAAGGTCTCGTCGTCAAACCCATGCATGAGGGCCGTCATGGGGACTCTCACGTTCTGCTTCAGCAGTTCCTGCTTCCAATAGTCCGTGAACGTTATGATGTGATGAGCTGACTCCACGATTATCGACAGGAGATCTACCCTCTGAGTCGGGTATACCTGATCCAAATACACCACGATGCGCACCTTGTCCGAGAGGATGCGAGGCTCCTTCTTCAACTCTATCAGAAACTTGGATACGATCATGCTGTCGTTGAAGATGACGATCACGTCGGGCTTGGAGAGCCTCACAAAGTCCCTAAAGTTCGAGAAGCCGAAACCCTCCTGAAAGGGAACTTACGCCTTGGCTGCATCGTACACCAGCACGTTCGAAGGGATCTGCTTGAGCCGGTCCTCCGAATCCATGGAATTGAAGTTCTGGAAGCCATACTGAACGATCTCCAGATCCTCCCTCTTACCCAGGTGCTTGAGGAGATTCAGAGAGACCTTCGAGTATCCTGTCGTCTGCACGGGGTGCGTGCTCACGAGAAGGACGCGCTTCTTCGGATCGAGCTCTGCGACCTCTATGACAGCCATTTGCACTCGGTAGGGATTTAAACGCCGGCGATCGAACGCATTCCCAAAAAAATTTCCTGTGCGAATGGTAGAACATGTACCATTCGAGGGGCCTGGCAGGGACCTCCCGCTGGCGCCACTTGACCGCCGACGACCTCGAGATCAAGGGGCTACCCCTTCAGGATCTGGCCCTCAGCGCCAGCGCGTCCGACCTGAAATATGGAGTCATCAGCGTGAACCTTCTCCCACTCATCCCAACGAGCAAATTGACGGGAAACTTCGCAGCAGGTTCGTTCGGAATGAACCTCATCCCCGACTCGAATCAGCGCTACGACATCGGCTCCTCCAACGCGAGATGGAAAGATGCATACCTCGCGTCCGTCAAGATCGCCAGCAACGGAAGCATCACGAGTCGGCAAGGCGACTTCAGCATCATCGCGACCTCCAATCAGCAATCCCTCACATTCTCCGAGACGGGCGGAAACGTGGCCATCAGCAATGCGAATCTGAGCGTGAGCGGTTCGATACAAGCTTCCGGTGCCAACCTGACAGCCCCACTGAGCATGTCCAGCAATTCCATCTCAATGACCGGCACGATCGCGTCTTCCAACGCCCGCCTGTCAGACATATACACCGACGATGCACACATCAACGATCTGCGAGTAGATTCTTCCGCCACTTTTGCTACCACGATCCTTCCGACATCCAACGGTTCGTACGACATAGGTTCATCTTCTAAAGGCTGGAGGAACATGTACGCAGACACCCTCCGTTTGACGGGCAGTCTGTCCGTCTCCGGCGTGACGCTCTCCGGGAATCTGGACGTGGGAAGCAATGCTCTCATGACATCCGGCGATATCGGCTCCGCGAGCAACCGCGCTGCGGGGGTCTACGCGAAGATGAGCGACATAGATTATTACAACGTCAACAGCAACCTGAATCTGGTGGCAGGGTCCAAGACTTCCTTTGGGACCGACCTGATCCCCTCGAGCAACTCGCAATACGACATCGGATCCACTTCTGCCCTCTGGCAAGACATATACGCGACTAATGCGGCCTTAGACGGCCACTTCTCGGTGGGAGGAGTGGTGACTCTCGCGAGTAATCTGAGCGCAGCTGGCATAAGTTCCTCCAAGGGCCTGACGAGCGCGGGTACGGCCTCGTTCTCGAGCAATCTGTCCGTGACCGGCCCAATCGCAGCATCAAACATACTCAGCGTGACCGGTCAGACCACTCTGGGCAGCAACCTCGGAGTCGCAGGCAGCGTGAGCGCGGCCGGTGGGCTGACCTCGTCCAACGGGCTCAACGTGACCTCAGGAACTACGAGCTTGGGTAGCAACTTGTCGGTGACGGGCCCTATCGTGTCAACAGCAGGAATTACCTCCTCGAATACCCTCAACGT